CGGAGGAGGCGGCGGTGGTGGTGGCGGTGGCGGTGGTGGTGGTGGCAGCAACAACTGCTGCTCCTCCAGCCATTCTAGAGCGAACATATGTTGAAACCATGCCCATTGGAATTGAAGTTGCTGCCATAATTCTTCTTCTTCCTCAAAAATAATGTATACCGGTTGAAACATTGCTCGTGATGACTGATCCTCCATTATACGATTAACGTGTTATTAAGATCACTAAATATCGATAAAGTGTGAGATTTAAATGAAATTAAGAACTTAAATAGAGGAAAGATTTATCTTAGATTTCTTCTTGTCCAACAAGGAAACGGAATTCAAATTAAGTCTTCACTTTTTCAAATTAGTTTCAATAAATAAAATCTTTTATGTAATCTCACTTCATTAGAATCTTTGGGATATGATATATAATCTATTTTAAATATTTTTAACTTCCACTTTTATCTTAAAAATATTTTTAAATATTTTTAAATTTAAATAATACCTATAATTTTTTTTTAAAAAAAAAATTAAAAATATCTTTCCACTTATAAGAAAAGATAAATAAATTTTTAATCCATTTTTCGAAAAAATTAAAGATATTAATTTACTCTCGAAAGTTATCTATATATTAACATTTTTTAATTTTTAAAGTTTATTTAAAAAAAATGTATTTTTTTAAAAGTTTAATCCTAATTACGTAAGGTTTAATTTGTGTTTGTTTCTAATTAATTCTTATTTAGTTTAATTTTTGGTTGTCACATCACTTAACTCCTCGGTTCATGATTTTTGAACGATCAATTTCATTGAAGATCGTACTTCGCCAAACGGAGTATTTCATTCATCATAGTTTCCCGAACTGCATTTTACCCGATTGGATTGGTCTCTCCTTCATGAAGCCATCATTTTCGTCCAATTTCGTCGCGCGGAGTAGCCTCGCCGGAACCCTGCTGTGTCGAAATCCAGTAATCAACTGACGGTATGTTCTGCGTTCTACACTGGAATGGTAAAATGAAGTTGAAATTTGTGTTTACGCGTCCATTTCTAGGTTTTTCTCCTGTTTGAAAAATTGCACAATCGTTGTTGTTTCGTTATGTGTGCCAAAGAAAAGTAACGCCTCCTTTTCTTAAACTGTGTGTATTTTTTGAAAATATGAGTTGGGTTTTCTCATTGATTCTGGTGCAGAGGAGTGGAGAGGTTGAAGAAATTTGGTAGATGGTTCGTTCTAGAAGGAACCTCCGTCTTTAGTCAAAATTTCTATGAGTTTTGAAGCTTCTCCGCGAGTACTTCGAACTAGAAGAAGAATCGAAATGGTATGCTTTCAATTCTCCAAATATGAATTTCTTGGTTTCGTCGCGTTTGAGCAAAATCTCATGAAACAATCCAATTGAATTGAATTCGTGAATAGAAATAGTTCCCTATCTTAATTTGAAATAGTTTGAATCACTCATATTCAAAACCAAATCCAGGGCATCTTTTAAGGTTTATTTCAGTGCTGTGGTCTTGAATGTTTCTGTTGTCTTTAAAGTTATGAAATAGGCTTTGGTGATGTTGATGTCTTGGATATATAACTCTAATGATAAGTGTCTGTGATTGCGATATAAACTAGATGCTTTTAGGACTCGAGACTCGCACGATTGTTCTTATATATAACTGGAACATAAATCCATCTGTTTCACCTCGCAAAAGACCTTTTGGAAGATAAAAGCCTTATAAAAACTCAAAAGAAAAGTGATGAAAACCAAAAGTGTGACTGTTGTTAGTCTTTTGGCATTAATTCCTTTCCCATTTCTCTTCTTTGAATTTCGATTATTTGCGATGTTCTGTCCAGAACAAAGGATTTTGGATTATGAAGGGTCCGGGGCATGAAAATGATGCAAATTCAACTTTCGACAGCCCTTCGTTATCAGACAGAAAGCGAGCACGTTGCTGGTTTATCGATGGTTGTGAGACGCAGGTTTTCCCGAACAAGAAGCAAGCAATTCAAGCTCCAAATAGTAAAATGACAGGAATTCTGTCAAATGTGAATGTTCTTCATTGGGAGCAGCATACTGATAATTATCAATCTGTTTCACATCAACTTATTGGTCGCGTATTCGGACCCGAATCACTAAGGTCTGCTGACTTGCATCTAACAAAAACATCTTCTGTAATTCCTGATCATTTTGATCTCAGGAGAAAAGGTATGGAAGACCAATATGGAGATGATGCATCTATATCTCATGGGTTGGAGGATCAGGTTAAAGATAATGTACATGATCTGCAACCATGTCCAAGAAGTAATTCTAATAGGGAGGATGGCAGCCAACTATCCATAGAAGGTCGTCACTACAAGGAAATTGAAACGGGTCTCGTATCGATGGGATTGGCCTATATTCAGGAGGATGACAGTTTCAGTTTGATAAACCAAACTGCCAATGATGGGGATCACCATTTTGGGTTACTAGATCATAGAGTTCCGATAGACGACAATGTTGTCTCCATCGATGATGATTACAGTAAGCGGGATCCAAATATAATCTCGTTTGGTGGATTCCCTGATGAGCAAGATATCATCTCCTTAGGCAGGTCTCTTGGAAGCCACGACCCGACATTCTACGAATCTTCATTCCAACCATCTGAAGTTGTTGGTGTCACTGATTTGGAATCATCAAATTTTGATGTAGCTGTAAGCAGTCCTCAGATAGCTAAGCAAAAGCCTGATAGGACAGCAAAGAGTAGACCAGACTACAAAACGAGGAAAGAAGCTCCAAACAGCTTCCCTTCAAACGTTCGGAGTTTGATATCGACTGGTATGCTCGATGGCGTTCCAGTGAAGTATGTTTCTGTAGCTAGAGAGGTAACTTTCTTTTCTTCTTCACACTATTTACACTTTAAGTTAGGCTTGCCATGTCGTTAGCTCGTACTCTTCGCTGATTTTATCAGTGGCTTCGTGGAATTATAAGGCGATCTGGGTATCTTTGTGGATGCCAATCTTGCAACTTTTCCAAGGTAAGTCATCAAAATTTGTCCTTGATGCAAGAGTTGAAAATGATTTCAGCCAGACCTAACAAATGGTTTGTCATACGAACCAAGGGATATCAATCATACAATATGCTTCAATGAAGATGTGAAGAAAATATTGTTGAAATTATCAAAAAATATTTCAATTCATGCCACATCACATTGAAGAAGAATGAAGTTTCATGTGAAAAATTTTGGGTGGATTACAATTTAGAGTTATTGTATTTCATTAATGTATTTTAAGAGTTTTTATTTACTTTAAGTTACAATTACATAATGGTAAATTATGATTATTAAGTATGAATGTAACAACTCTTTGAATGTCTTTAGTAGTATCATTTTGAAGCTATATTAAGCCATGTATGTTGTATTTGTAAGCAGACTTGGGAAATATAGTAAAAGAAGCATTTATGTTCTTCTTTAGCCAATGACTAAGTTTCTTTGCAATTCTATGTAGTTTAGGTTGCCTTTAGAATCATTCAAGCTCGACATGATCAATCTTGCTTGTGGAGTGATTCGAATCTCAAGCAAGTGTTCTTGCCTTGAGATATTTGATCAACAAGAATCATTCAAGCTAGACATGATCGATCTTATTTGTGGAGTGATTCGAATCTCAAACAATGTTCTTGCCTTGAGATATTCGATCAACAAAGTAATCCGAATCTTACTCTCCTTATAGTGGTTCCTTATCTTATCACTTTGTGTTTCCTTGGAAGATACTTAATGCGTATGAGTTTGAGCGGCATGCTGGCTGCAAAACGAAACACCCAAATAATCATATATACTTTGAGAATGGAAAACTATTTACCAGATAGTACAAGAACTAAGAAGCACTCCGGAGAGCTTGTTGTTTGATACAATTCAATCCATCTTCGGTGCACCGATCAATCAGAAATCTTTTCGGATTTGGAAAGGTAAAGATGCAACTCTTACTCTTTCCCCTTTTAAGTCTTTAAAAATATGTGTTGTGTTCATTTTTTTCAGAATCCTTTCAAGCAGCTACGCGTGAGCTTCAGCGCATATATGGGAAGGATGAACTTAGCCTTCAGTAGAGTTCATTGCCAGTTCTGTAAATGTAGGACGAGATTAGGTGGATACTGTTCAGAGAATCAGGTTTTACTTCCTAACTGATTTATTGGTTTGGTGGTTTAAATTCGCTTTGTGGATGGAGGAGTTCCAAAGACAGGAGACAATTTAACCTCTGTCGTTAATAGATATTGTCTTCTTTGGACTTTCCCTTTCAGGCTTCTATGATATTGTCTTCTTTGGGCTTTCCCTTTCAGGCTTCTATGATATTATCACCACCGCTAGTAGATATTGTCTTCTTTGGGCTTTCCCTTTCAGGCTTCTATGATATTGTCACCACCGCTAGTAGATATTGTCTTTGGGCTTTCCCTTTCAGGCTTCTATGATATTATCACCACCGCTAGTAGATATTGTCTTCTTTGGGCTTTCCCTTTCAGGCTTCCATGATATTGTCACCACTGCTAGTAGATATTGTCTTTGGGCTTTCCCTTTCAGGCTTCTATGATATTATCACCACCGCTAGTAGATATTGTCTTCTTTGGGCTTTCCCTTTCAGGCTTTCACTTTGGGCTTTCCCTTTCAGGCTTCTATGATATTGTCACCACCGCTAGTAGATATTGTCTTCTTTAGACTTTCCCTTTCAAGCTTTCACCCGCTAGTAGATATTATCTTACCACCGCGAGTAGATATTGTCTTATTTGAGTTTCACCTTTCAGGCTTTCACCGCTGAAGTTTCCACATCATTATAAGGAAGGTTTGTTTAGTCTAAGGCACCATTAGCAAAAAAGAGATGAAAGGCATTAATTTAAATACATGTCGAAATTGGCTAGTGTAAAGATGATCATTGATACAAGGAGTTCAGGTATCATAGCATCTACTGAGATGATAGATCAATTATAGTAGCCACCCTTTTAAAAGGATATCATTGATGCTGCTGGGAGTTCGAATTGTGAGAACATGAGTAACATTACGAAGATACGCTCATCATCTTAAAAGTCAAAATAGTTGAATATATACAAACCATCCGGTGGCAAACAAATAATTGGGATAACATTGTTTCTGAAAAAAGCCAAAATGAAAAGGAAACAAATAAATCTCTTTATAATATAGACATTATCACAAATGAAATTCTAAACATGAAAAGTACCTATCTATCTATTACACACTAAATGAAGTTCAAAAGAATCACAAAATAGCTAATAGATGCGCCCATCAATGAAGTATGACAACTTCAATATATGACTACTTCAAAGGGTTTGACCATCTTAAGAACCACAGCAGGATGATTTTTGTGCAGCCTGACCAGCATTGGCTCCCTGGTCTTGATTGATCTTGATCGTCGAAGGCTGCAACGTAACAAAAACCACACGTCTTCGGTTCATTAATCAAGAATAATTATAATACACAATGAACAAATAAAAAGCTCGAGCTTTAGTTATTTCTTGTTTTTTGGGTGAACTATAGCAGAAGAATTATAAAATACCTCAGACTTTGAATCGGTATCAGAGAGACGTTGCTTAATATCCCTTCCTATTGAAAAGAAAACTTCTTCCACATTAAGATTTGTCTTCGCACTCTGTAATGCAAATACCAAATATTTTTCAGCTTACACTTCACAAACTATTATGGAAAAATTACACAGGAAGAAGAACAAGCACTCACAGTTTCAAAGAATTTGATCCCATACTCATCAGCAAGCGCTTGTCCTTTGGATGTAGGCACAGCCTGTAATACAAGGATGTTAAAAGAAATGATAACAGGCATGGCTTGAGAGAAAGGTAATCTTAGTCAAGAACTTGGAAGCTAGATTTTTTAACAAAGATACCCCTAGATATCAGTTTGGTAATATTATCGGAGGTTCAAAGCATTTATCAACAACAGTTTTCTAATGTGCTACAAGGTTAGTAGCACAACTATTTAAAGTTGATGCCTTTCTTTTCAGTTTTCATAAGCAGAATGGAAGTAATAACATACCCTTTTGCTTTCGTCCATGTCGGCCTTGTTTCCTACCAGTATCTTGTTGACATTATCAGAAGCATGTTGTTCAATATTACGAATCCAATTTCGAATATCTGAAAAGCATTAGAGAATAAGGAGTGAGAAGGCAAAATGATAGAGAAATGGAAGGAGCTATGAAACATCCATAGGACAAGGCATCATAAATGAAAAGATTAAATCATATTTTGGATCAAATGCAAATATACAAGAACGAATATAATTTGACAAAAGAAAAATCTGCAAAAAGAAATGGCAAAATGGTACTTACTGTTGAAAGATGATTCATCTGTTACATCGTAGACCAGCAAAATGCCCATGGCACCGCGGTAGTACGCTGAAAAAACAAACAGGTAGCAGAACTATTGAGAAACTCTGCTCATTGACAATAAATGCTACAGAAAAACAAAAATCCTGATAAAGAAAATACTACGAACATCTTGGAGCAAAGAAAAGAGAATCAATATCAGGACACTGAACTCCAAGTTCAAACAGCAAAAGTAAAACAGTTAGCCATTCCACGAAAGATGTACAATTTAGGAAGAAATCCAGTAATGAATAGCCACAAATCAAATTTCATTCAAATATAACATATTCCATCATGATTCTAGCTCCTAGCAATAGACAAGTCCATGATCATGGAGGTAAGAAAAGAATACCTGTGGTGATTGTACGGAACCGCTCCTGACCAGCGGTGTCCCAAATTTGGAGCTTGATCCGTTTTCCATCAAGCTCAATGGTTCTGATTTTAAAATCAATACTACAGGAGGGGAAAATGTTGTTGTTAGTTCAGAAGGAACTTTTGAAGTGCATAAATCCATGTCATAATCCCACAAGACATGGGTATTTACATTCATATAGAAAATTGTACACACCCAATGGTAGTAATAAAACTAGTGGTGAAGGAACCATCTGAGAAACGTAAGAGAAGGCAACTCTTACCAACTCCTGCAAAAATGGCCAACAAAAATGAACAGAAACAAAGGAAATCGTTAGGTAACATTGCAATGTGAACCAAATCTGTTAAACAGATACGAAAACAGCACATCGATATAATAGAGATGTTCAAATTTACATCATGGAATACACCAAATCAACCAACACGCGTCCTCAATCACCAAATCAAATTCAGCGTAACTGAAATTATCGTCCACAAAAACTGAGAGATTCGAGAGAGCAGTCCAGATCCAAGAAAAACAAGCATTCTCAATCAATAATTATCGCATTTTTCCAATCAACAGACCATAATAGGATAACCTCAAAGAAGAAACTAGAAAATGAGGTTCTATTTAAATCCGAAATGAAAATTACGCACCGCTATCGCCGATTAATAGAAGCTTTATGAGATAATCATAATCCGCCCTAGCTCTTGCAGGTAGAGCAGCCATAACAATTCCAATCAAATCGATTCAACAGAAATCCCCTCTGCAATAACCTAGAACATCAATGAAACAAAAAACCTCAACGAAAAAGAGACAGAACGGCCGAAAAATCGCAAATGCTAGAGAAATGTACCGATTCCGAGACAGAAAACGAGAGAACAGCCGTCAACCGAGTCACCGACGAGGCGGTTGCGGTGGCGCGTGGGAGGTTAGAGAAAGATTGATAGCGATTTTAGCCGAAATAGGAAAAAAAAAATCGAGCGGCTCTCCACCTGTAAAGAAACCTTCTTTTTCTCGGACTTTATTCCCTTTCCCAAGCGGAAGGCATAAAATGACGGAATTACCCCTTAACCAAATGAAATGGTTATTAAACTTCTTTGACCAATCATTTACAGACAGCTGTCTTACGTGGTCCTTAAACTTTCTTTTATGCCACGTGGGTAGCTGGTTTTGTGACCGCGTCGGATTCCCAAGCATAATTGATACCGAAAGGAAAAATTAGTTGTCAATGCGCTGGCCACCTCAGCAAATTGGGTGACGTGGGCTCCTTCCCTATTTGAATATCCTTGTACTAATACCAAATAAAATAACGCTAGTATATTTATTTATTTCCCTATATTAATATTAAAACTACTAATATATTATTTTGTTTTATATTCTTTAAATCATTATTGAAATTAAAAAAAAAAAAAAAAAAAAAAACTAATTGTACCTGGTCAAATGAATTTAGATATCTAGAAGGATTCCAGAATATTTTAACTAATTTGAGAATCAGGGAATTACTGAGTTTGAGTTTGGATCGGTGTTTTAACAGTGGAACATGGTTGAGATACGGTTGTACTTTTTGCCGAAACCCTTAATTTTCCTATTGAATTCTAGATCCTACTTCTCATGGATCCCTCCCTCCCCTCGATTGAGTGCTACTTTTTTTCCTAATCTTCACTCGAGTTCCTAAATTTCTCATTAGACATGACACTGAAGGTTTCAGTACATCGCTCTGCAATCAAAGAGAAAAAGAACCAACAAGTAGGTTGTGGCGACCCATTTGTATCTATTTAGTAATAAGCCTCCCAGTTCTTTGATCCCGACTCTCATAACTTACCCAACAAATGTCAAAACTTAATTAATATAAAATAAAAATAACATATTTGATATTATGTATATATAAGTGGGGGGGTTGTATGAAGCCTAATTAATTAGTGGTGTTTGAGGGAATTGAAATGGGGAGGCTATTTCTTGTTGAACACGATCCAAGTGAAGAAGTTCTAAAGGCCTGCAAATTTTGCAACACTTACATCGCCTTGCACCAAAATATAACCGAGGATACCTTCGTAATTTTCCTTTTCTTTTATTTTCTTTATTTCTTTTCACAGTTCTTGAAGAAGCCCTAACAATGGCGGCCTCTTTCTTTTCCTCATTTTCTCTAGCCTTTCTGGCCACCCTCCCAAGGCTCCATCTTCTCTTCTACGTAAGTCACCACTAATTATGCATTAATTCTCATTAATTTTACGCTAATCATACTTAATATTATTTTTATTTATTTAGGGTGAATTTGGTGGAAAATGCCGGTGCACCCAATCAAGATCTTCCTTCTCCTGCACGTTTTGTACAGCTTTACTGTGTCAAATGTGGCGCTTTCATTGGGTTCCGACAATACGTTAGTTTTTTCTTTTAAATTTTAAATCCATTTGTTACATAATTTTCAATTAAAATGGTTTTAACTTTTTAATCTCTGTATTATATTTTCAGTATCTAGTCGACAACACCAGACATCAAGGATTTAGTTTCATCTATCACGAGTAAAGACTATCCCTCTTCCTTGTTATATCTAACTTTTATAAAATTTTATTAAATTTAATTGTGTAATTAAAAAATTAATGATTCAACATATTAATTGTAAATTATATACCAATCTAAGTTATTATTAAAGGTCATGAATTATTAACCTGTAATATCTTAGGAATGTGGTCGATATTTTTACAAATGGAGCTTAAATGATGAGTTTCTGCAATACGGAGGTTTGTGAATTTAATCTTTTCTGGAATTTTTTTTTTTTCAAATATATTTTACTGCTAAAATGAATATAAATTTTGCAACAGGTACATTTCTCAAGGGTTGATCAAGAACAACATTGAAGATTGAAGATTAGTTTACTTAAACCGATATTTGAAATTTGTTTTGTTCTTGATCAATGAATTCCATGAATATTTCGCCTCGGTCGATCTTGATTTGTTTAAAGTAAATCCAACCATAATTATTCTAGAGAAGTAAGAACAGAACAAGTCATCAGGTTGATTCCTCGCCGGTAAATTGGTAAATTAAACATATCGATTACATTAATCTCTAGATCTTCGTCTACGCTTACCACAAAACATAGAACCCTAAATTACAGATTAATTCACCGTTTAAGACGACTTGCTCGGCGACTTTCCGCCCTTTGATGGAGATTTCGGCTCTTTCACAGCCTTATCTGTCTTCTTCGGCAACAGAATCGGATTAATATTTGGAAGAACTCCACCACTAGCAATAGTTACGCCGGCGAGCAATTTTCCGAGTTCCTCGTCGTTCCTGATCGCCAATAGCACATGCCTAGGAATGATCCTGTTCTTCTTGTTGTCTCTAGCAGCGTTTCCAGCCAATTCAAGAACCTGTAAATCGGAGAAATACAAGATCAGTACAGTGGCGATTCTATTGCTCGGATGAAGAGGAATCAGAAAAGAACGACTCGTTTACTTCAGCGGCTAGATACTCCATCACGGCTGCCAAGTAGACTGGAGCGCCGGTGCCAACACGTTGAGAGTAGCGCCCTTTCTTCAGATAACGAGCGATACGGCCGACGGGGAATTGAAGACCGGCCTTGACGGATCGAGAAACCGACTTCTTCTTCTCGCCTCCTCTTCTTCCTCCTGCTCCTTTCTTTGCCTTTGCGCTAGCCTCCATTGGATTGTAGTTGAAGGATTTACGGCGGCTGGAGAACTATTGGTGTTCTAATCGACCGTGGTGTAGAGAATGAGCGGATTTGGTTCGGTGGGACAAGGGAAGTTGTTAGAGCTTTTATACCGCAGTGGGAACCGGCCAATGCGTTGGGCGGATACGAGCTATACTTGATCGACGGTTGTGAATGATTTCTTTTCGCGATCCGTGGCGTTTTAAGATGGACCAATGAGAAACGAGTATAGAGATTTGAATCCTTTGGGGTTTTCATCGAAAATTTTCAAATTTCCCGCTCAATTTAGAATTTGACGTCTTTCATTATTTGTTAGGGTAATTTCATTTGTTTCTGTTTTTTATTACTTACCTTATTAATGATAAAAATAAATTCATCATCTTCTTTAAATAAACACTAATTTTGCGACTTTTTTTAGATAGTGTTCTATTCATGGGGTTAATACACGTGTCTGAGAAAATCGAACAACCTATGTATTCTAGCTCTTAGCTCTAGTATATACTTGCCATCGATCGAAAAAGCTCGGGCACCACTTGAAAAGACGGAGTATTACGAAAAAAGTATAAAAATATACTTGGTAAGTACTCAAATCAAAGGTTATTTGTCATAAATAATACTCGGTTAACTCCTATGAACTATAAACACATTGAAAAGTCTTACGTTTGGTTTAACTTAACTCAACTGAGTTCGTGATAGGATTTTCATTATCGAATATGAAATAAATGAACTATTCGTTCTTGCAACAAAAACGTTTAAGATGATAATAACTCAACCTTCCAGAATCTTCCTTATAATGACTTTTAACGCCAATAAATTGGCTTGTGGGAGCCTCTTTTAAGATCGGGAGATTTTTGTGTAGAGAATTTGTCAGGGATAACTATATGGCTCGACCCTCAAATTCTATTAATATGACTTACGGGAATATATGTCTGGTTTGAAATAATATACTCGAACGTACAATATATTAAAAGAATTATTAAATAATTATCATAGTATATCACTCGAGATTAAGATAAAGTCATCGAACCCTTGCGCAATATTAGTTTGGTTTTATATAGACTATTTTATTGCATACCTCGTTCACGTGCTTTCATTTAAATGATTTATATCAAATTATTTATAACGATTATAAATGTGCAGTATTGATAGTTATATCAAGAGTAAACACCTAACTTTATTCGTATACTATAAACCTTCTAAATCGTTATCTAAACACGATTTTCGTATATGTCAACGACATAATGTTTTATTTGTCAAAATTAACTTTGAATTTTGCATAACATGGATTTAATGTTATACATAACATGTGGTTGACGTATTTTATTGATGGGCGAACGACGGGAATTGAAACCGCGCATGGTGGATTCACAATCCATTGCCTTGATCCACTTGGCTACATTCGCCCCTACCCCCCACAGGTTTCAGTCTCGAGATACAATCAGATCTTTACCTTATGACCACTATCAAAGAGAAGCTTTTTCCTATACAAGAGTTGCAAGTCTACTGTCGTGTTTTGGAATTAGGGGAAGCAAAGCTTCAACAAGTCGGCCGCTTCGTGACAAAGCTTCAGACAATGAGGTTAGACACTAAACTTGATTTAAGATTAAAAAAGATAGAGGCCGGGTGGATGAGTAACATATTAAAATAATACCTAAAGATTCTAAATTCTTTAGGTTACGTTCCGTTCCGTAATTTATCATATTAAAACTATTAATATAACTCATTTTAGGTTATTATTAATAATTTTATTCAAATTATAGAGACGTGTGAGTGGTAGTATTTTATTATAGTACCCAAAAAAAATAATAATAATATATATATAATCTCTTTTAAAATAATTTCATAACTGAAAAATTTCGTGACAAGTCACCCATCCGCAACATTCCAAGAATAACCAATGGAAGACGCCCACGTCGAATTCCGACTTGGCTTCAAGTCCACCCTTCCCACGCCTTCTCTCGATCGTTGATTCATCACCAAACCCTAACGCTATCCGACGCATTCCATTTAGCCACATCAGCAATCTGTGGCTCAAACCATCAGCCAATCAGAAATCAAATAGATGAGATATAAATATCCATCAACGATCGAAACACTGTATTGATTTGTTTTCAATTCCGATTGCTTAAGCTTTCGACTGAATTTATCTAAGCATCCAATGGCGCCAAAAGCCGAGAAGAAACCCGCCGAGAAGAAGCCGGTGGAAGAGAAGAAGGCCGTAGTCGAGAAAGCCCCAGCGGAGAAGAAGCCAAAGGCTGGGAAGAAGTTGCCGAAGGAAGGTGTTGCGGCTGCCGTTGACAAGAAGAAGAAGAGATCGAAGAAAAGTATTGAGACATACAAGATCTACATCTTCAAGGTGCTGAAGCAAGTTCATCCAGACATCGGAATCTCCAGCAAGGCCATGGGAATCATGAACAGCTTCATCAACGACATTTTCGAGAAACTGGCTCAGGAGTCTTCTAAGTTGGCTCGCTACAACAAGAAGCCGACCATCACTTCCAGGGAGATTCAGACTGCTGTGCGACTTGTTCTTCCTGGTGAATTGGCCAAGCACGCCGTTTCTGAAGGTACCAAGGCGGTTACGAAATTCACTAGTTCCTAATTGCTCTGTAGTTCATGTGAGGCGTTTTGATTTCGCCGTTTATGGAGGATTTACTTGAAATTGAAAATTGAGGAATTAGGGCTAGGGATTCGGTTTGTTCTCTTGATTTTTCATTTGATTCAGTGAATTATTAACAGTTAGATGAGTATGATATGTATATGCCGATCCTTTATCTGGTTTATTACGATGAACTTCTTTCCATTAACGAAATGTGTAAGACTATTAAGTTTCGAAAACAAGTAAAATCTGAATCTAACTTAAAAGAGAGCATTCGAACTTAGGTATCATTTGTAAAGAAAAGAACATTACAAGTATACTTAGTAAGTAATTCTCTCTTAATGATGATGTGAATCAACTTTCAAATTTTAGGCCTTCTCTAACGATGCTGATCTTATTTAACTTAATTGATAGGTTTTGACAAACAAATTAAATCTATCATCATTAGATCCTAAGTCTTAGTCTAAGCTAGTGTGCATGTGTGTATCATCACTAGCCCAATAATAAGATGGAGTGTATGTTGTATATTTATCTAAAATGATTTAGATATTTTATAAATAAAAATATCTTAATATTATCTAAATATTTTAAAAAAGGAAAAAGATTTAGATATTTTAAGAGTAGAATGTCTCCACCCTATCTACGTTTTCATCTAAAGAAATACTAAGTATAGAGATCAATAGTAATTACTATGGAGTGTGTCGTAATCTTTTCTTAATTGATATTAATAAAAAGTATAATAGTAGTTTCTACGGATGTTTTGTAATATTTTTATTAATTGGTGTTAAGAAAAGTGTAAATATTTATTACAAAGAGTTGTATTCAATATAGGTATGTCGTTGACGACTTGTAGTATTCAAATGTTAGTTGATCATCGGTTCATGGAACAAAACTATCCCAATATAGAACCTCTTGTAAACCATTCATAAAGGGCATATAATAATCAACCCATATTAATTATATGCATTAACATGTAGATATATGGGGAAAACATTTAACACTAATAACCACATAAATTAGGACAAGTATGCCGTTTCTGAGGGTACAAAGGCGGTGGTAGCTTTGAATCCCTATTCATTAAGGTACCTCGAGGATTATTGAAATTAATCCGAGTTGAGTTGTCCAAACCCAACCATCCTTAACATGTGAGGAAGCCCATGGTAGCTTTGAATCCCTATTCATTAACGTACCTCGAGGATTATTGAAATTAATAGTCATGCATTAATTAATTAAGAGAAAAATCATCCGTTTATAAAAAAAAAGATTAATTAATTAAGAGAAAGGCATGAGTTTATAAAAAAAAGAACACTATCTGTATAATGTTGAAACTAATAATAGTTAATAATAAAATTTGAATTAGTTACGGAAGAGGAAGAGAAGGAGGAGGTGAATTCAAATTCATTCACAAAATCATCCACAAAAATCTCAACCAATTCCGAGAATCCCCTAAAAGTACCTCCCTCCCCCTCACTCAAATCACTCCTCCTCTCAATCTCAATTCAGTTTTCTGTTGTCACCAACATATAAAAGGCGTTTTGGGTAATAATTTTTGCTAACATATTGCAAACTTATAAGACTAAACATCAATTTTATTTTTAAAAGTAAAAATGGCTACCCTGAAATTGACAAATATGGCGTCATAATCGTTTAAAACAGAGCAATATTTGGTTACAGCTCAGCAATCCGCAACAAATCTGAGTATCCAATAAGATTCTACCACGTGGCTCTCTGTATGGACGACGAGGTGGCTTTTTCTTAAGTCATCGCTAATCATAGACCGTCGATTTATTACCCATCCTAAACCCCATCTAACGTACTATTTAAAGCCAGGTCAGCAATCTGTGCCGAAAGTCATCAGCCAATAAGGACTAATCGACAAAAGATATAAAAACATAAGCCCAAGCGAAAGTATCAGAGCGAACAACTTGCTGAACTTGTACGATTTCTCAACTTTCCACCGCCTTTTCTTCAACCAAGCAAATTCCGATGGCACCCAAGGCCGAGAAGAAGCCCGCCGAGAAGAAACCGGCGGCGGAGAAGCCAGCCGAGGAAAAGAAATCCGTCGCCGAGAAAGCACCGGCGGAGAAAAAGCCCAAAGCTGGGAAGAAGCTTCCGAAGGAAGGCAGCGCCGCTGCCGTAGACAAGAAGAAGAAGAGATCGAAGAAGAGCGTAGAGACTTACAAGATCTACATCTTCAAGGTGCTGAAACAGGTTCATCCAGACATAGGAATTTCCAGCAAGGCCATGGGTATCATGAATAGCTTCATCAACGATATCTTCGAAAAACTTGCTCAAGAATCGTCCAAATTGGCTCGCTACAACAAGAAACCCACCATCACCTCCCGGGAGATCCAGACCGCCGTTAGGCTTGTTCTTCCCGGTGAACTGGCCAAGCACGCCGTTTCTGAGGGTACAAAGGCGGTGACTAAGTTCACAAGTTCTTAAAACCCTAATTAGGCGAAAGAAATTGAAAACGGAAACGAAGTAGAGTAGAACGCTGTTTTAATTATTACGATGTGTTGATGTATTTGTGATCTTTTGGGTTTCTCAATTTCTTCAAATATAGTTGCTTATGATTTGTAAATGCTTCTTTGATGCTTTATTGGCTATCTGATGCTCTTATCATGAACAATTTCCCATTTGAATTTGATGGGTTTGGTTAATCTGCTGCCGTTTGATCTTATAAACGAGTATCTGAATTCTAATTATTGTCTTGATCACCTTCCTATAATATGTTGGGTTGTAATTGTTAGCCATTTCCAATGAATCTGACTTGGTATTGTGAGTGTTCTTGTTTTGATCGTCATATGTTGATGTTCTTTACTCGAATGGCACTGCTTGACGTTCTTGGACTGATCATATTGCTTAATAGTCTTGTCTTTGACTGCAATTTATCTGGTGATGGTGTTGTATGAGTTATGGCGGCTGTGTGATATCAAGCCAAAATGAATAGCACTTGGGTAATTGGGTGCGCCCATTTTTCCGTCTTTCTGTGTTCTATTGCTACATCAGGATCCCGCTGGACATTCCCGAAGGTGTCTTGTGCTTGCTGGTCAAAATGGTGGAACATTCTCGTTTTGATTTCTTCGTTCCTACTGTTTCTATTGAGAGCCGAAGGCGGAACAAATGTACTCACAACACCAAAATCACTCAACACATACAATATTGCACTCAATATTGCACTCAAAAACTTGATTTTTCAACCGCAGAAAGAATGACCTTAGATAGCTTCTGCTAAACTTAAAGATAAACTAACAAGCCTAAAAATATTAGCAAGACCAAGAGAATAGGGCTTATGACAGTGTTTAACAATCTCTACCTTGTCATAAGATCTCCAAGTTGATAGAGAATTTGGTTGTTACCACGTCAACACACTACTCCTTCCTTCCGACGTTGATGAGATCCAAACAATGGCAAAACTTTTCACGAGCGATCACCTTTGTCAACATATCAGCAGGGTTATCAGCAGTTCCAATTTTTAGTAAACGAATATCCCCTTTGCTAATAATTTCTCGAATAAAGTGAAAACGGACGTCAATGTGTTTTGTACGAGCATGATGGATTTGATTTTTTTGACAAGCAAATAGCGCTCTGACTATCACAAAATACATCTATATGTCCCTGCAAAATACCCAAGTCATTGATCAAACCATGCATCCAAATAGCTTCTTTAAAAACTTCTGTTACTGCCATATACTCTGCTTCAGTGGTAGACAATGCAACAGTAGACTGCAATGTTGAACGCCAACAAACAGGTCCACCAGCCATAGTAAATAAGTATCCCGTAGTAGATCGTCGCTTATCCAAATCACTAGCATAATCAGAATCCACAAAACCAGCTACACGATTGTCAAGATTAAACATTTCTTGTTTTTGAAACTTAATACCAACATCAATAGTGTCAAGAATGTACCTAAGAATCCATTTTACAGTCTGCCAATGCTCTTTACCGGGATTATGCATATATGGACTCACCATGCTTACTGCGTGTGAAAGATCAGGTCGAGTACACACCATAGCATACATCAACGCACCAACAGCATTTGTATAAGGAATGTTCTCCATATACCTTTTGTCATCGTCAGAACTTGGACACATGGAAGCACTAAGCTTGAAATGAGGATGGATCCTAGAGCAAAAAAAGCCAAGTCTATGGGCTTTAGCAAAGGTGTGAAGGGCTATAGGTTATGGTGTCCAGAAACAAGTAAGATTGCTAATAGTCGAGATGTGACGTTCGATGAGTCTGGAATGTTTTTGCAGAAAATTGAAAATAATGACGAGGTATTGAAGCAGGTGGAGAAGGTGGTGTTCTCTCCTGATGTGGTTGCTCTTACTGAAGAACATATTGATCAGGTAAATAATAACTTTGATGTCTTAGAACAGTAAGAGCAAAGTCTTGAGGAGCAAAGCCTAGTAAATGAAAGAGTGGAGGAACCTGAGTCAATCGCCAAGAATAGACCACGAAGGGTAATTCGAAAACCTGCAAGGTTTGATGATACGATAGCATATGCTTTCTCTTTGATTGATGAAGTTCCTAACAGTTACAAAGATGCTATTCAGAGCCCAGATAGCTTACACTGGCAAGAGGCCGTGAATCAGGAGATAACATCATTGGAGATAAATCAAACTTGGGATTTGGTACAAGTTCCAAAAGGTAAGAAGGAAATTGGTTGTAAATGAGTTTTTGCTAAAAAGGAAGACCCTTTTGGTACACGTTATAAGGCTTGACTTGTGGCTAAAGGCTACGCACAAAAAGAAGGTATTGATTACAATGAAATTTTCTCACCTGTGGTAAAACATTATTCGATTCAAATTTTGTTGGCTTTGGTTGCTCAATTTAATCTTGAGCTTGCACAACTCGATGTAAAAACTGCCTTTTTGCATGGAGATTTGGAAGAAGAAATATATATGGCGCAACCAGTTGGTTTTTGAGTAGTTGGACAACAACGTTTAGTATGCAGATTGAAGAAATCTTTGTATGGGCTGAAGCAATCCCCTCGCCAATGGTATAAAAGGTTTGATCATTTCATGGTAGAGCATATGTATACTCATAGTCAATTTGACCATTGTGTGTATTATCGATGTCTCGATGATGGATCGTTTATTTACTTGCTCTTATATGTTGATGATATGTTAATTGCTTCAAAGAGACAGGTGGAGATTGATAATCTCAAAGATGAGTTTTATAAAACATTTGAAATGAAAGACTTAGGCAATGCAAAGAAAATACTTGGAATAAAGATAGAGCGAGATCGAAAAAAAGATACAGTCTGGTTGACTCAGTCTCAATGTCTACGCAAGGTATTGTCAAGATTTAGTTTGAATGATTCAACCAAACCGGTTAGTACTCCACTTGCTCCTCATTTCAAGCTTAGTGCTTCCATGTGTCCAAGTTCTGACGATGACAAAAGGTATATGGAGAACATTCCTTATACAAATGCTGTTGGTGCGTTGATGTATGCTATGGTGTGTACTCGACCTAATCTTTCACACGCAGTAAGCATGGTGAGTCCATATATGCATAATCCCGGTAAAGAGCATTGGCAGATTGTAAAATGGATTCTTAGGTACATTCTTGGCACTATTGATGTTGGTATTAAATTTCAAAAACAAGAAATGTTTAATCTTGACAATCGTGTAGCTGGTTTTGTGGATTCTTATTATGCTGGTGATTTGGATAAGCGACGATCTACTACGGGATATTTATTTACTATGGCTGGTGGACCTGTTTGTTGGCGTTCAACATTGCAGTCTACTGTTGCATTGTCTACCACTGAAGCAGAGTATATGGCAGTAACGGAAGCTTTTAAAGAAGCTATTTGGATGCATGGTTTGATCAATGACTTGGGTATTTTGCAGGGACATATAGATGTATTTGTGATAGCCAGAGCGCTATTTGCTTGTCAAAAAATCAAGTCCATCATGCTCGTACAAAACACATTGACGTCCGTTTTCACTTTATTCGAGAAATTATTAGCAAAGGGGATATTCGTTTACTAAAAATTGGAACTGCTGATAACCCTGCTGATATGTTGACAAAGGTGATCGCTCGTGAAAAGTTCTGTCATTGTTTGGATCTCATCAACGTCGGAAGGAAGGAGTAGTGTGTTGACGTGGTAACAACCAAATTCGCTATCAACTTGGAGATCTTATGACAAGGTGGAGATTGTTAAACACTGTCATAAGCCCTATTCTCTAGGACCAAGACCTATTCTCAAGGTCTTGCTAATATTAGGCTATATAATGTCATTCTTTCTGCTGTTTAAAAATCAAGTTTTTGAGTGCAATATTGTATGTGTTGAGTGATTTTGGTGTTGTGAGTACATTTGTTCCGCTTTCGGCTCTCAACAAGTGGTATCAGAGTCTTATTGTGGTATTTTGGGGTATTGTGAAAGCTTGGGCCTCATCGACCATTAGACGTGCTCACAATCGTGTTTATTCTCTTGAAATTCAATTTTCAAGAACACATTTTTTTGTTTATCAAATATACAATGTTCACAGAAATCAATTCTTCCAGTTGTGGCACCCTTAAGGACTACTTGGTTCACCAGTGTCTGAAGCGCCTTCTCACCAGCATGCCCGAGTCGCATGTGCCATAATTTCAATATGTCTTGTTCTTTCGAACTTGCCACAGCAGCATGCCCAATTATTGTGGTTCCGTTGAGGTAGTATATGCTACCTCTTCTAGTTCTTGTAATTGCCACCAAAGCTCCATGAGCTACTTTCAAATTCCCTCCTTCCAAAATGATGCGATAACCACTCGCATCCAAAATGCCAAGTGAGATCAAATTTTTCTTCAAGTCAGGGACATACCTCACCTCTTTGATTTTTCGTATAACCCCATCAAACATCTTGATTTGTACTGAGCCGATTCCCATTATCTTACAAGTACTATCATTGCCCATATAGACAACTCCACCATTGAACTTTTTGAAGTCCAAAAACATCTCTTTGTTGGGACACATATGATAGGAGCATCCAGAATCAAGAATCCATTCACTGGTTTGGCTGACTGATAGGGAGATTGTCAAGGCATCATCTGTATCAGTGTCGTCATCTCTAACCACATTGGACTTCGACCCCTTCTCTTTTAAGATCGAACAATCCTTTTTTCAATGGTCATTCTGTCGACAATATGCACACTCATTTTTATCAAGTTTTCTCCAATTGTCAGATCTACCTCTCGACTTTAATCGAGACTCTCCACATTCGTTCTTTTTCCAATTAGAAGTCCTTCCATGAGCAGTGAGAACATTTGAGCTAGAGCTTTGATACGTCTCCTTTTCCTTTTTCCGCATCTCATTGTTTATTAATGCATTTGAAACATCTTCAAAATCAATATTAGTGATTCCATGTAGTAGGGTCGTTACTAAAAACTCGTATGATTCCGGCAAAGAGTTTAATAACAACAACGCCTTATCCTCGTCATCAATCTTAACATCAAGATTGAGCAAATCAGTGATGATTTTGTTATAATCATCCAAATGCTCAGCCATTGAGATGCCTTCCTTGTAGTCAAAACGGAAGAGTTTCTTGTTCAAATAGAGTTTATTTTCCACACTCTTCTTCATATATTTCGCTTCAAGCTTGTCCCATAATTCTTTCGCCATGGTAACCTTCATAAATGGATATTTCTGATCCTTGCCAAGACAGGATCGAATAATTCCACAGGATTATCGATTTAATTTCGTCCATTCTGCTTCTGTCATGTCTTAAGGCATTTCCTTTTGGAGAGAAACATCGAGGTCTTGCATGACCAGCAAATCGCTAACTTCGCCTCGCCAAACACCAAAATTATTGGTTCCATCAAATTTCTCTACTTCGAGATTGGAACTCCACACTTTCGATCCACGTTGTGATGGTTCTGCCATTTGCAATAATTAATCTGGATGAAACTCAAAAACACAATTCTTGAAAATTGAATTTCAAGAGAATAAACACGATTGTGAGCACGTCTAATGGTCGATGAGGCCCAAGCTTTCACAATACCTTAAAATACCACAATAAGGCTCTGATACCACTTGTTGAGAGCCGAAAGCGGAACAAATGTACTCACAACACCAAAACCACTCAAGACATACAATATTTCACTCAAAAACTTGATTTTTCAACAGCAGAAAGAATGACATTATATAGCCTTCTGCTAAACCTAAAGATAAACTAACAAGTCTAAAGGTCTTGAGAATAGGTCTTGGTCCTAGAGAATAGGGCTTATGACAGTGTTTAACAGTTTCTGCAGGTTTAGAGACCACGAGACCACGACCCTCCACGATAGCATGCTATTGTCTGTTCATGTTTACATTTTGTTCTACACTTGAGTCATTTTGATTATACATTTGAGACTCGCAACTTCTTTACTCGATACTTTAGGATTGGATTCTATTGACATGGCTAAGTAATGACTTAATGCTCACAACGTCTAGATTGTTCGACACTTGAGAATTGGATTCTATTGACATGACTAAGTAAGGGTTTGACTACACCTCGAAGCTCTCAACTTTTTTATTCGACACTTTAGGATGAGATTCTATTGACACGACTTAGTAAGAGCATGATTTTGATACTATGTTAGAGACCACAATAGTATTATATTATCTATCTTGAGTGTAAACTCTATCTTAAAATGTCTCATACCAATACGTTTACATTGTCTCGTTGGCGAATGTTTGGGCATCTCTCTAATTCAATCGAAGATAATGACAATTGCTCATAGCCTTTTGTTTGGCTTGTTTTTCTTGATGGAAAGGGGGAGAAATTATGTGCTACAAAGCAAAAGTGTAGGGAATTTCCATGGGCCTTGAGAGATTAATGGGCCATTGGAAATGGGCCGGTCCATGATTTTGAGCCCAATTGGAAGAGTTAAATGTTATTTTTATTAATTTAGGCTTTGACCATTGGGATCGATCTTTATTAATGTTTACAACGATCTAAATAGGATACAAACTATCAACTAATACCTAAAAATGAGAGAAAATATATAACTAACTAAGTCTGGTAGATAAGATAAAATATACTGCTTATCAAATCCTAAGATAAAATATACTACTGACCACTCCAAAAAAAAATATAAAAAAAAAATATTAATATTTAAAATATATTCTCCAAATATAATATGTTATTAAAATTAAATTCGAAATGTACCGTCCATATCTTTATTTGTTAGGTTCACAGAACAAATCTATTAGTTGTGAGTTGAATAAAAGAGGTAATCAATACGGCGTCGTAGCGGGCAAACTACGCGTAGAAACCACGACGCGGTCCTCTGAAGTCTTTATATCTTCAGAAAAAAATCGGCATCAGCCCTCAATTTTCTCCCAAACCCTTCACTCTCGACGAAACTGCGAAACCCTAATTTTCTCCTCTCTCTTACTCCCTCTTTCGACTGCTCCTTCAGTGTTTCTGTTAAATTTCTCTTTGAAGATGGCCGCTCCTTTGGATATGAGTCTCGATGATATCATAAAGAACAACAAAAAATCCAGATCCGGAATTTCTAGAGGTCGCGGTAGAGGGTCCGGACCGGGTCCTGTCCGTCGAATCCCCAATCGCGCCGCTAATCGCACACCTTATTCCGCTCCCAAGGTATAGCTTTGAGGATTAGTTTCTTGCTGCCGGTTTTCCTCTCTCGAATTCTGGGTTGAAGTTTTGATTTGTGATTTTGGTGTTAGGCGCCGGAGACGACCTGGCAGCATGATATGTTTGTCGATCAGGGCGCGGGGTTCCCCGTGCAAGCTGGACGTGCCTCTAGCATTCAGACTGGAACTAAGCTCTACATATCTAATTTAGATTATGGTGTCTCTAACGAAGATATTAAGGTATTTATACTTCTTGCTGATAGGTTAAATTATAGTATAGGTTTCCTTTTTTTGTTTTTGTTTTTGCTGAAAGTGATGATTTTCGCAGGAACTTTTTTCTGAGGTCGGAGATATGAAACGCTACGGTATCCATTATGACAAAAGTGGCAGATCCAAGGTATTCTACGAGGCTTGGCGCAATACTGGGTTTAGACTTCTAGTGAATTTTGTATCTTGGTCGAAGTTTAGAAATTCTCTTTTCCATAGGGAACGGCGGAAGTAGTTTTCTCACGACGAGGAGATGCTGCTGCGGCTGTCAAGAAGTACAACAACGTGCAGCTAGATGGAAAACCGATGAAGATAGAGATCGTTGGAACTAATATTGCCACTCATGCTGTTGGTCCTCCCGCTGCTGTGAACCCTTTCGAAAATTTTAATGGGGTTCCTAGAAGGTATTTATCAGTATACGATATTTCTGCTCTGATCCTTGGTTAGGTTTATAATTGGATGCAACAATTGGCTGCAACTTGTTTTTTCGAAACATATTTCGAATTTCAATTTGTATTTGAATGTCAGCTAATTTTCTATAAGAGCTACTTTTATTTTTAGGAATCCTATACGTATATATATAAGCTCGATAAATCTTAGAGTTTTATTTTCCTTTTATTAATGATTTTAGTTTCTGTTTATAAAGAACTCTTACTGCAGTTTGCTTATATCTGTTGGATTTGTGAACTTAATGTTTATTTTAGGTTTTGATATGCTTGTAATACTCATTGTCTAGAATTATAATTTTATTTATCGGGTACTTTATTGCAGAACAGTTTTCCATGTGGGTTTTCACTTGAATCAATTTTTTTAACCTTTTCTATATATGTACTTATGTGAGCCATCGATTTTCTATTGTATGCACTTGTATCTGAATCTCCTTATTATTTTTAGGCGAGTTTGTTTGGCTTTGGTGCCATTCATTTTATAAGTAAGGCTACCATGCTCTCAGTCATTCTACATCAAATTGACATTTTTTTTTCCTGTTAAACAGGCAACAAGGTAGGGGTGGTCTGCCATCACGTCAACGTGGTGGTCGTGGTTCTGGAAGGGGGCGTGGGCGGGGAAGAGGCCCAAGTGAAAAAGTATCTGCCGAAGATCTTGATGCCGACTTGGAAAAGTATCATGCTGAGTCGATGCAGATAAATTAGTGGATTCATACATTATTTGGTTCTGTCACCTTCAGTTGTTCTCTGTATCACAACCATTGTCTAGACTTCGCAGAAAAGGGCTATGGTTATCCTTAGAGTTGGTTTGAATTTCTTACAGCTTTTGGGCTTTCTTTTATTTAGATTTCATATGACTTCAGCATGGTAATGTAATTGACGAACAGTAGTCAGTGTGTACTCTGCTTTCATTCATTAAGTCCTTTCTGTTTCATTTAATGAGTTGGGAATCAAAGTGGATCTATTTCCCACCCTTTGCCCGATCACATCTGCGTGGATGATGTTGGTTTGATAAAATACCACTCCCAGATTGCACAACAAATGAGTTGCAGCTCCTTATTGAGGTAGATATCTACATCTATATTCTTGTCAGTTGATTATCTTTCTTTCTCCATTGTATCTAACAAATTTACAATTTCCCTTTTAATGTTTTTTCAGGGAACTTCAACTCCACAAAACTAATATGTAGGCACTAAAAGATGAACACACTTCATAGCATGCTATGGGATCCTACTCTGAGTCAAATTATTCTAAGAAACTACCAAGATGATTTTGTTGCCTTTTTGGACTACGGAATTCTGCCTGCATTTTATGGTAAAAAGACCTGCTTAACAGGTGATATCCTTATCTTAAGTAATTGTTGGTCGAACACGTGCAAAGTGGTGGTATACTACTGCTGTGCTCATGGTGACAATCCGCAGATCCGTGAATACATGAGAGCAGGCAGGCATATTTGAGGTACCGTACCATCACTGTTGAGGACAGCTCCAAGTTCTGTTCTTTTTCTTCTTTCTTGAATTTCTGCCTAGTGCTAGCATATGATCTTCTCTCCTTAGATGATTGATTGATGGCATTATGAGATTTTGGCGGATGATCAATGAGCGCGGTAGAAACTTCGTCTCTTGGCATCATTTAAATACCCATATTTTCATTTATTTTTTTTGAAGTTAAAACCAACGTGCCGTGTGGAAATGTTTTGCGGTGTGTTATTTATTGATGATACTGGTACCTGAGTGGATTTTTTAACATCACTGCATTTAGAACCCAAAAGTGGCCGGCTGTAAAGTTTGGATTTCAGCTTCTTCATGCTCCCTATTGATGGATTGACAGGAATTGTCTTACCTCAAGCTTGTGCCTGCATTGATGATGCCTTAATATCTGTAATTTGTTAGTTGGTTCACAATTTGTAGTGTGATTTATGGATATATTAGAGGTATGTTAAGTGGTGTTGTTTGTGGCATTAATTTCCTCCTCCATTATGGTAGCTGGTTATAATGAAGTCATTTGACATTCTAATTTTTTTCCAAATTTCGTAGGATGTATACCACTTGTGACATTTATTGTGTTCTATATATTATTGGAGATGGGTTTTGTTTTGTTCCAATTATTAATTAAAATATCAAATTGGATAGTAATTATGTGGGCCCATTAATGGTTTATCTACTTAAGAACAGCGAAACTTGTCGAGAGCCCCACTTGTGTGAAGGCACATGTGATTGCATGGTGGTGACAGCGATAATCAATTTTGCCATTTCTATGGCCTAACTTCCAACTTGTCTATTTGATTTCGACTCAATAAAAAAATACTTTAAATCAGTCGAACAGGAAGGTAATTGAACAGATCCACTCGTATTGGGGCTGAACCAGTAAGAAAGGCGCTGAATCGGTCGAATTGGCTGGCGCCGGGCGGTGGTGTTAGGCCTGGTCCAAAGAAGCCCATAGTTGAGGCCCAATAAGAATGGATTGGACCGAAATTAGTGGGCAGAGTTGGTCCAAAGAAGCCCATAGATGAGGCCCAATAATAGTCTGGACTGGATCGAAATTAGTGTGCAGAGTTGGTCCAAAGAAGCCCATAGTTGAGGCCCAATAAAACTATGGATTGGGTCGAAATCCGTGGAGAAGGTGGTAGAAGCTTACAGAAAATCCAGGAAAGGAAGAGGAGAGAAGATACTAGAAAAGCCCTCGAAACCATTGCCATATTCTGTTGCTTCCTATTTAAATGCCTTTCATCCCAGCGGTGGAAGAGCATCGACAAACCACAGCAAAGCAAACACAACTCCAATTCTATCAATCTTAAATATCAGTTTCACCAATTCTATCTACTAATTCACCAACAACAATGTCGCTGATTCCAACCATTTTCGATCCCTTCTCCTTAAACGTTTGGGACCCATTCGAAGGCTTCCCATTTTCAAGCTCACTGGCCAATGTGCCTTCCTCTGCTGCTGGTGAGACCTCTGCTTTCGCCAACACCCGCATCGACTGGAAGGAGACCCCAGAAGCCCACATCTTCAAGGCGGATCTTCCCGGGATCAAAAAGGAGGAGGTCAAAGTCGAAGTTGAAGAGGGCGGTGTTCTGCAGATCAGCGGAGAGAGAATGAAAGAAGAGGAGGAGAATAACGAAAAATGGCATAGAATTGAACGGAGCAGTGGGAAGTTCATGAGGAGATTCAGGCTGCCGGAGAACGCAAAAGTGGATGAGGTGAAGGCGGGCATGGAGAATGGGGTGCTGACGGTGACGGTGCCTAAGATGGAAGTGAAGAAGCCGGAGATCAAGACCATTGACATTGGAAGGTCTTAAGAACAGAGAGGTCGGTCTGGTCGAATACTGAACACAGTGTTGCACATTTAGTCGTTGATGTATAAGAGACGAATATCTAATTTACTTGAACTGATTAATGTATCGGTTAATTCACATTTAGTCGTATACGAATATCTAATTCATAAAAGCTCTAACAATCCACAACAATCTCTCCTCATAAGAGTTCTACCTCCATTCGAAACTCAGTATCTGGAAATTTCTAAATCAAGTAGCCTACAGATTCAGGACAGAACAAATTGGTCTATGTTGCAAAAGAGATAAGAAAAGATTATGGAAACTGTAAGCACAATTCTTCATTTCATTATCGGAAAATTAGAGAACAAAGTAGGCAAAATGTATAGCAACAACAGAGACAGGAAAACCAGTTCAATATCCAAGATCTATTAACCTAGCCTCCAAAACCGTACAGAGTCCTTCCCTGCCTCTTCAAAGCATAAACCACATCCATGGCGGTCACCGTCTTCCTCCTAGCATGCTCGGTGTAGGTCACAGCATCGCGAATCACATTCTCCAAGAAGATCTTCAAAACACCTCTGGTTTCTTCATAGATCAATCCACTGATACGCTTGACGCCTCCTCTACGAGCCAAACGGCGAATTGCAGGCTTAGTAATTCCCTGAATATTATCTCTCAAGACCTTCCTGTGTCGCTTTGCTCCTCCCTTTCCCAAACCCTTGCCTCCCTTACCACGTCCAGACATTTTCGGAGAGAACTGAAGAACCGAGGATTGATTGGCAATTTTGAATTTGATCGTAATGAATGAAGAAGAACAGGTGGGGAGTATTTATATGAGTGCAAGTTGAGCACGGAATTATGTTGTTCGTTGGATCGTTTGTTAATCGACGGCTAGAAAGGTCGATCCACGTGAAGCTTCCGCGGATTTGGAATTTGAAATGTGATTTTTGGCGGGTAGAAGAGAAATTTGTAATTGCCGGGAAATAACCAAAACCTATGCGCGCCTTTTCTTGTTGTGAATTTTAAAACACCAAAATAATTCTAAGGTGGTTTTGTAAAGTTGTTTAAAAATTAATGAGAGATCTCTGAAATAATTAAATTAATTTATCATCAATTATTTGATGATATGTCACACTATTTTGTTACAAATTATAGTATTGTAAATTTTAGTTTAGAATTTTTAATTAAAATTTCAAAATTATTTTCTACAACATTTTATCACTTTCATTTTTTCAATTTATGAATCATTTCATCAATCTCGAAAGAACGCATGAACTAAGTACACATCAATCATATCAAATCACATTATGAAACATAATCATTTCATCAATCTCGAAAGAACTAATGAACTAAATACGCATCAATCATATCAAATCACATTATGAAATTGTGGTGCCAAGCGAGAGAAATATATATACATATACTATAATATAGTTGAGCTCCGCTACCACTCTCACGAGTATGTTGCCCCATGCACTCCAACTGTTACCACCTCTCTTATTTGTTCTTTTCTTCTTCCTCCTCGACACGATTTCATCAGTTGTTCACTTGACTACATTACCCACCCGTTATTGTTGCCTGACCTTACTCCGTCGTTGCTTGTCCACTTCATATCACTTTGTCGTAGGCCAAACTCAGTGAAGGAACTCCCAAAAGCTACCATTTGCATGCGTGCTGTTGCCCCTCTACTCATCCACTTTGATGCTCGTCCAGGTCACCCCATCAATGAGTATCCATCGAAGCTGCCATTTGAATGAAAATTATCGCCAGTCTTGCAAGCGTTGTTATTTCATACTCAATTTCGACTTCGAGTTGTGACTTGCCAATCACATTCACTTATGAATATTCGGTATAACAATCTGCTTATCGACCTAATCCTTGCGTAGGAGAACAATGGGAATCCTTATGGTTCCTCGGTCATGCCAAAGGGTTGAAGGGCGTAAGCCAGAGTCAAGTAAGCCAGGATGCATAGTAGTGGGGTTGAAGTGTTTTGACTTTGAAAACAAGACAGAAAAAGGATAACAGGACGGTGAGAACTGGGAGAAAATTGCCTCAAATTTACAACCCTAAGAAGGTAAGCTAGCTGGATTTTGAGTAGTTATAAAGAACCTGAAAAGGGTTTGAATCATGAATATTCATATCTATTCCCAGTATACAATATAGCAAAAATTTACTGAAAAAAAAGAAAAGATGCGTGTGATGTAAGATCCCACAACGATTGGAGAGTAAAACAAAGCATTCCTCATAAGGGCGTGAAAACCTCTCTCTGGCAAACCTGTTCTAAAACTTTGACTAGAAGCTTAAAAAGAAAAACTCAAAGAGAATAGCAGTGAGCTTGGACTATTATAAATAGTATTAGAGTCAGACATCAGGTTGGGCGGTATACTAGTGAAGACATTGACCCTAAAGAAGGTGGTGAATTGTGAGATCCCACATCAGTTGGAGAGGGGTTATAACGATGTGGGAACCTCTCACTACCAGAGCATTACAAAACCTTAGAGGAAATACTCGAAAAGAAAGGTGGAAAGAGTCAAATACACAAATAAAAAAAACAATCTCTCAATTATGTTCCTTATCGGTGACTTAAAGCTGGTGCCAATCAATCATTGAAGCTGTGAACAATGTTCATTGAAGAAGAAGGAAAATCAGACAGGCATTTCAATTAGGCATGTAAACTTGAATTAAAATCGTTGTTTTGATTTACAGGCAGCATATGACACACCATAGCGGAAGCTAAACTTAACGGGTCATGAACACTTGACTGAAAAAAGCTAGAGAAGAAGAAACAAAATCAGAATCTTTCAGGATTTCACAAATAAGGAGACTATGCAAACGCACCATAGAAACAAACAGCAAAATAACAATGAAATCCGTCCGTACATAAATATATAGAAGTTACCTGGTAACTGAGCTTTCAAACATCTCCATGAAAAGCACAGCAGCATGCAGGGCAGCTTTACTAGAAGTTATCATCCTCAAACAACGAAAAAGACAGTCCCGGGAGAGCTTTGAAGACGGCAAGCACCCTAATATGGCTTTTCACCTAAACTGCTTTTCTTGATTTTCTATGAATGTTTCATAAACATGAACTGGTTACAAGTTTCAGGTTCTGAGTCTAAAAACAATCATTCAGAGAAAGGATGAGGAAATTTGAAACTTACAACATTGAATCAGACGAATAGATGTTCCATTCAACCAATGCTTCAAAAGATATTCAACTTTCACATAAACTAATAGTTAAAATTAATGACGAAACTGATAGCATGTGATGAATATCTGGAATTCGCATACGGATACGAGCATTCCACGAAATTCAAGAAAGTTGGATCGTAAACTTCAGAGTTAATTCGAAGAAATTAGCTAAATGTCAATTAAACGAGGAAATGGATGAAGCCAACTCGAAATTTTATAGAACATCTCTTCAATAGAGTAAACATTTCATTGCTTCCCGACTAATGAGGAATTAAATTACAGAAAAACCTATAAATGCGCCTACGAGATACTAGATCAAAAGAAATGATCGACAGTCATTCTACAAATTAAACCCTAAATCTAACCTCCAAAACCATATAAAGTCCTTCCTTGCCTTTTCAAGGCATAAACCACATCCATGGCGGTCACCGTCTTCCTCCTGGCGTGCTCGGTGTAGGTCACAGCATCGCGAATCACATTCTCCAAGAAGATCTTCAAAACACCTCTGGTTTCTTCATAGATCAATCCACTGATACGCTTAACGCCTCCTCTACGAGCCAAACGGCGAATTGCAGGCTTAGTAATGCCCTGGATATTATCTCTCAAAACCTTCCTGTGACGCTTTGCTCCTCCCTTTCCCAATCCCTTGCCTCCCTTTCCTCGTCCAGACATTTTCACAGAGAACTTTGGAGAACGAACAGAATCGAGTTGGTTAGAGGTTTTGAATATGATGTATGAATGGTACCGATTCCGGGTATTTATGGAAGTGCAAATTCGAGGCCAAATTTTAGAGCTAAGCTGGGAATACTTTCGCCCGTTGGATCTTTTGTAGATCGACGGTTGTGAAGATCGATCCGCGTGAAACCTCTCGGGATTGGGCTTTGGAAATGTAAATTTGTGTTTTATTCTTTTTAATGTTGGCGGGCAACGGGAAATTCCTTGATCCGGGCAGCGGGAAGGCACAAATTTTGGTAAAAATCGAATTTCAATTTACAATTACATTAAATTAATTTGTGGCACCATTATATTTTTAATCGTAAAAAATAAATAATCAATTTAAATCAAATATTAGCATAACTACTACAATTAACTCCACTAATTTTAGTTTTAAGTGAGTAGGATTATTTAATTTTTATAAATATTTCAAAATTATTTTTTAATAAAAAATTTGTGGTCTTTTACATTGTCTTTAATAATTTCTACTTTTTAATTTTAAATTTTTAAATAATAAAGGTTTAAGGGAGACTTTATGCTACATTTGTATGGTATTGATATTGATACACCATTTAGAAAAATTAACAGGAATCACATCCGCTACCCATGAACCAATATGACTATTTGTGCTTAACAGAATTATGCATGTAACAGTTCAAGCCCACTGCTAATAAATATGGTTCGATTAGACCCTTTATGTATTGTCATCAGCCTTCATAGTTAATAAATATTGTTCGATTAGACTCTTATGTATTGTCATCAGCCTTCATAGTTTTAAAACGTGTCTGTTAGGAAGAAGTTTCCACACCCTTATAATAAATATTTTGTTTTTCTCTCTAACCAATGTGGCCACCCTCTTGAGAGCTCAACATCCTTACTAGCACACGGTCTAATACTATTTGTAACAGTCAAAGTCTATTAAATATTGTCCACTTTAGCCCGTTACAAATCGCCGTTAGCCTCACAGTTTTAATACATGTCTATTAGGGAGAGGTTTCCAAACTTGATTTGAGTTAAGAAGCAGCAGATTCTAGTTTTGTATTTCATGCAAACTGGCATAAATCTCCACTTCCACATTTCAACTAATTTCAAGATGGATAAATCTGGAATATTTGCAGACCTGATAATACTAATAATAACCTCCTCTTATAAGATAAGGAAAGAGGTTATTATCGGAAGAGCCCGCATACTGGCAGTACTTTGGCAGTACTTTAGTTGACAGTGAAAGTTATCCAAGTCAGATTTTAAATGAGTATCTCCAGCGGTTCCGTTTTGGGCAGGCTTGTTTGTGCCCGTCCCCGGATGGTTTAAGTCCTTTTCTGAACCTTGTCCAATTGAGGATTGGATCTGGATATGGTCTCTAACAAAAACTAAACTGGACTAAGTTGAGATGAAAATCAGGAACAAATGATGGCAATAAATGAAGAAGTCAAAGATCACAGACCTGCACGCATGCCCTTGACCGCTTGAGAGAATCCCACCTCTATACCCACTTCAATGCTGGATAGCAAAAAACCTGCAAAGCCTTCAGGTCTCACTTACAAAAATGTTATAGTAGACTTTCCGAACTTTCTGAGTTATAACAAATCTCTAGCCTATGTTAGGATTATTGGGAGTGAGTCCCAACTTAGCTAATTTAGGGGAATGATCATGGATTTATAAGTGAGAAATATTATCTTCATTAGTATGAGGCTTTTTGGGGAAGCCCAAAGCAAAGTCACGAGAGCTATTTCAAAGTGGATAATATCATACCATTGTGGAGAGTCGTGATTCTTAACATGGTATCAGAGTCATGCCCTAAACTTAGTCATGTCAATAGAATCCTCAAATATCAAAAAAAGAATTGTGAGCTTCGAAGATGTAGTCAAAAGTGACTAAAGTGTCGAACAAAGAGTGTACTTTGTTCGAGAGCTCCAAAGAAAGGAGTCGAGCCTCGATTAAGGGGAGGCTATGTGAGAGCTCCATAAGCCTCAAGGGAAGCTTATAGTGAACTTTGTTCGAGGGGAGGATGGTTGAGGATTATTGGGAGTGAGTCCCACATTGGCTAATTTAGGGAATGATCATGGGTTTATAAGCAAGGAATACTATCTCCATTGGTATGAGGCCTCTTCGACAAAGCTATGCTCAAAATGAACCATATCATACTATTGTAGAGAGTTGTGATTCCTAACCGTATATTCGAGTTGAAGCAAGAAAAATATGAATTATCAAACTGCAACAAAGCATTTCTACGGTGGTTAAGAGAATTGGATCCTGAATAACATTCTTTCAAATTGATTTGCAGCAAGAAGCACCCACGAAGCAACTTAATATATATACACAACAAACATCAACTTCAGGAGTCATACCCGACCTTGAACTAGAAGAAGCGACTCCAGTTGAGAAAATTTGAACATCTGTACGCTGCTCTTACACATACAGCACCATTTGAAAGAGACAATGGCTTAACATCACTTTGAACAAAGTTGCTGCTAGATTCTGGATCGAACAGATCTATAAAAAAGGAGTGTTCCAAAACGCTTCATAAGAATAGTAACCGGAACTCCATAGGCTTGTCAACCTGCAAAATCGTTAACTAAATTACTACATACCCACATGATCAAAAGCAAAATAAATGCTTCAACAGTGATGAAATAAGCAAATTTATGAAGTACATCTATCACTGGATATGAACAGAAGAGTTTTTCAAATTCTAAACTAAGAATTGCATAATGCCTGAAATCCATACCAGCCAGAAGCAAAGAAACTAAAAATTGTTTCTTCTTGATGCCAACAAAGTTCTGTAAGAGATGTTTTTTTCCAGGAGGTTCACATGCAGATTCCTAGAGCATATAAAGTTGATCCAACTAGAGAGTCAAGGTGGAAGAGTCATCTGGTGGTAATAGAGCAATTCAATCCGATGAACTTCACATGAATCCAAACAACGGTTCGGGGTCATCTTAGTTCATATCAAACATGATTAAATAATATCGTATTTTCACAACTCCATAAATATATGGGGCTACAATTATTCTTGAATTTCCGTATTGGCATACATTGCAATTATCAAGAATCTCTTACATTTGGAAGATACACGTTCAAACAATCCGTATTGGCTCATTGCAAAAAATTCGTGATGTAGCTGGTTCATTCGTTCAACAATTCGAATTTCATCAATTATATTTAACGCCATAATGCCTTAAGTTTATCGATTGAAAAGGAAACATTAAACGTGTGATGGCGAGACCGATCTGTAGTTTCTTGTAAAAGATCAGACGTTTAAGATCAGATTACAGATTCAATTTTCTGGTTGACGAATCAGATAAACAGAGGAAGGAGTGAGACAAACGATTAGTAAATAAGAAGCATAATTTGAAAATAAACCAGTGTCTTCTCCAATGCAAAACAACTCGCAGAAACAAAGATAACTAGCATTTCTGAGACATACTATACAATCATTCTTAAAATCAAGCCATAACCTAACCTCCGAAACCATACAAAGTCCTCCCCTGCCTTTTCAAGGCATAAACCACATCCATAGCAGTCACAGTCTTCCTCCTCGCATGCTCAGTGTAGGTAACAGCATCACGAATCACATTCTCAAGGAAGATCTTCAAAACACCTCTGGTTTCTTCATAGATCAATCCACTGATACGCTTAACGCCACCTCTACGAGCCAAACGGCGAATAGCAGGCTTGGTGATTCCCTGAATGTTGTCTCTCAAAACCTTCCTGTGACGCTTTGCTCCTCCCTTCCCCAAGCCCTTGCCTCCCTTACCGCGTCCAGACATTTTCACGAACGATTAAGGAGAACTAACAGTAAGAGACTAGACTCGAAATTCTGAGTTTAACTACGAAAATTTGGTTTAGGGTATTTATAATATGAAAGCGCAATTCTGGACTGGCTTTCAAATTCGGAAAAGAATCGCGTCACCCGTTGGATTCTTTGTGAAATCGACGGCTGAAAAAAGAGCGATCCGCGTGAAACCTATGCGGATCAAGATTGGCGGGCAGTGGGAAATTTCTGAACCGCCCAAAAAATTAATTTTATCAGGAAACAAAATATGTAAAACGATATATAAGTAAGAAATATAAATATAATGCAAATATTCAATATTATTTACGTAATTAGAGATGGAATATTTAATTAATTAATATATTTCTTTAAACAAAACAAAATCTTTAGCGTCAAATATTGTTTAATTTTATTTATTTTAATAAGTTTCTTTATTACTATGTAATAAACATTTAGCCATTGTTATCGTTTAGTGTTGTTGCTAAGGAAATTAATATATACGAACGAGGGCTCGTCCTAACTAGTATAATCTCGAACATTATACCATTAACATACAAAGGAATATTACTCGAGTAAGTAAGAATCTAAAGGGAATATAGTATACGAATAATGTTCCGACAATGCATAATTTTATTCAAATTATTTATATGGAGGCATACAAATATTAATATTTTATAAGATAGCCATTTAAGTTTATAATACGTGAAAAAGAAATTAAATATATTATATAAAAGAAGAAATTATATCTATTGAGTCAAATTAAAATAAAATATATTATTATATATATTTTATAATGTTTAAATATGATTTAAGTAAAACATATATTTTAGATATTAAAATATATTATTTCATCCGCCAAAATTTCGTGAAAAAGTTTCAACGTTCGAAAAGCTTGAGCGAGATCTACCAAAACTTCCATCACATTTCTTCGAAGTGAGTTAGTTTAATGATAACAATGATCGATGAATGAGAAATCAACGGCACGGCGCTGCTAATCTTTTGACACATTTGAAGAAGTTCATATCCGAATTCATGCACAGTAGCGAAGAACCTGACAAGGCTCGAAGACCTCTCCAATGAAAAAAGGAGATATCTATCGCAATGGAATTAGTATTCATCTCTAAGCTCAAGAACGCACCACCATTCATTTAAACATGTTCATCCTACAAATAATATGTTCGAACACTCATTCTTCTCAACAAACAATCTAAAAATTCGATCTAAGCGTAATACACGTTCATAGTTTTAGTGGGGACAGACAATAATCACACAACGAACTATAATTTCATTGCCAGAACAACGATGAACAGCGATGAACAGCTTCAGAGAAAGACTAACAGAAATCTCAATGACTAGGAAATTAAATCCTAGATATACAATCATTCGTGAAATTAAACTCTAAACCTAACCTCCAAAGCCATACAGAGTTCTTCCTTGCCTTTTCAAGGCATAGACCACATCCATGGCGGTCACCGTCTTCCTCCTGGCGTGCTCGGTGTAGGTCACAGCATCGCGAATCACATTCTCCAAGAAGATCTTCAAAACACCTCTGGTTTCTTCGTAGATCAATCCACTGATACGCTTGACGCCTCCTCTACGAGCCAGACGGCGAATTGCAGGCTTGGTAATGCCCTGAATGTTATCTCTGAGTACCTTTCTGTGACGCTTTGCTCCTCCCTTCCCCAATCCCTTGCCTCCCTTTCCACGTCCAGACATCTTTTCGACTGAAGATTGAAGAACGAACTGCTAAGGAGATGGTTTCGGATTTTGATTTTGGTTCCGAACTGTGGCGATTTGGGGAATTTATGGGAGTGCAAATTCCGCGCCTAATCTTTTTGAGGTTCGTCTGGAAAGCGCGTTGTCCGTTGGATTTTAGGTCAATCGACGGTCTTGAATGTCGGTCCGCGTGATACTTTGTGGATTGTGCTTTGGAAGTGTAAAGTGATTTTTGTTTTGGCGGGCCCAAAAATATGGGGGAATAAAACCCCCCATTTTAAAAAAAATTCTTTTTGGAAATTACAATTTTAGACTTCGTTTTGAAACTGATGTTTAGAATTTTACTCTACCAATTGTAATTTGAAATTTTATTCACACTTAAAAATCTTAAATTAATAATTACATCAAGGACCATGTATGCATAAATGACCAGAGTTTGATAGATGTTTTTACCGGTGAAAATGAGTTGTGTCGTTCCACGTTCCATCCTCGCAGCGGCAAAGAATTCATTACCGTTTCGGCTGTACTACCAAAAGCTCTGGAGAAGTCTAGGAGAGAACTCATCTTGAGGTGAGCTTACTACTTAAAAGCTTTTAGTAGTTATCCACGCACTAGAGGTGCGTCCTTCCCAGTCCTCTCGTACTAGGAAAAGGTCATCTCAATGCTCTAACACCCACACCGAATATGGACCAAATTGTCTCAGACATTCTGAACCCAGCTCACGTACAGATAAATTTTAGATCAACAAAAAAATTCAAATTGGTTGGATTGATAACCTATCACCATCCAAATCTAAAATTTTGAGTTGGGTTATTAGATTATAAAAAAAAAAAAAAAATTAAAATTAAAATTTTAGTAAGAAGATAAAAATGTTGAGATTCGAATAATTAAAATCAAATAATAATGCCAACTTCGTCACTCTTATGATTGGAATAATTGAGTAAAAACGCTTTCTTTGAAAGTCCAATACTGCTAGTCTGCTACAAACAAATTCACGTACTAAAACTGATACCAGATATTATTATTAATAATAACATGAATAATAATACCATGCATTTTCCTATCTGCAAAATGCAGAACTAAGCATCATTTATAGATAAAATTCAAGCTCCCAACAGTCGAAGCAGGCGGACTCAGTCCTTTCCTTTCCGATCAGGACGACGGGAAGAAGATTCGATAATCAGGATCATATGCACTGACAATAACAGCAAAGAAAGCCCATATCATAAGGATGCTTATCACTCCAGTCCTTATCATCTGATCGAAGTTTCCATGCAAGTGATTATCAAACTCAAACATCTGAGACCGTAAAATCGAATCGTCCCCATGAATTCCCTCAGTAATCAACTCTCTGTTCACCGTCTCATTTGTATCCAGTCGCTGTATATCATGAAAATCTACTTTTGAACAATTCGTGCAGGAGCATTTGCCACCAAGATATCTGGGCAGTGTTTGCAGGTACTCAGATAGAACCTTTTCATATGTAGTCTCCCCCTCAATTTTCAACTTTTTCCGGGTAACAGGTTTCAAGATCTAAAATAAATAAATCATACTTTATGTTAAGGAGAACTGAAGATTGTACTTTGATTCATAATCAAATAATCAGCAAGGAGAAACAATCTTACTTGAATGAAAGTTTGAGCAAGAAGACGAACGACGGGAGGAAGCCGAATGACGAACAAACAGCCGAGAAGGTTTGGGAAGTGATCTTGCAGAAGGGAAGAACAATATCTCATCATTTGCATGGGAACTCTAAAGGGAGTTAATCCTTCACAATCCACTAAGACTGTGATTTGGGAATTTTCTGCATCAACTAACTCAACGACCCCATGTTCTACCTGAGATACTGCGATTATAGCATTTAAAGTTATACTAGAAGAAAAGAAACAGCGTTCCTTTAAGATAAAAGTAAAGAAAACACTAAAAAAAGCGTATTATACAGTCAACACGCTGAAAAACGACCATAACAAGGAAAGCAAATCATATTATTAACAATGTAAGGGTGGTGCCTGATGCTAAACATGTTAAAATCAGAAATAGTCTTTTCCAGTAATCTGGATATTGATCACACAAATTTATCATAATCAAGATTCTTGTTAGAAATTAAAAGATCAATATACCTTTAGTAATAATGAAAATAGGTAAATTAATTGCACACTATCAGCACCTAAAAGTTTTTTGTCACAATTAGGAAAATCAAGAAAAAGTTCACCCTCAAAATTAACAAACGGCACCTATTGAGTAAGAAAGGGAGAACTAGATTTCTAAGTAGTTAAATATTGATAAAATTAAGAGACATACTGATGGCTTGGGTAAAACGGGGTTTATCTTCAGACGACAAGCTCATGCAAGCCAGCCCAAGCCGTACGATGAGGCAAGGCCTGCCCGTCAGATCAAATCCATGCCAATAGACCATATGTGACCACATATCAAGCTCTGAAGATGAAAGTATTTTGTAATTTTCTCTCCAGCGAATTGTCTTCTTAATTGAAGATAACAAAGATGTAAAGTCACCATTTGCAACTGTATAGAATCTTTGAAGCTCATTTTCATTAAATCTGAATGAAATAAAAATGTGGTAATTAGCTGCAAAAAGGGAAGCCTATGAAGTCATGGACAATCCCACTAATAACAACCACCTATAAACACACAAAGTCAAGTTAGACCAAGCAGACACATAAAGGAGGAGATACTGAGAGTAATTAATAGGAGGTAGACAGAACTTTTAAGTTCAATAATACTTGGTACCTCATACGATAAAATTCCATCAGAACTTTTAAGGCTAAACTTTCAGTCTTGCATCTTCAGTCAACAACAGCTATAAGATCTACAGCAATTCAAATTAGAAATTACCTTTCTGGCAAACTAAAACCCTGACTTTCCAGCTCTTTAGAAAGGGAAACCAACCAACTTTCAGGTTCAGTACTTTGTGGAGCCTCATCACAGGCCCTGCAAATTATGTGAACTATTTAAAATTTAATAGAGTGCAGAGATTACAGAAAACACCCAAAAGTCCCGAGCAGAAGTTAAACAAACGATACTTTAAAAAACCATCAACATTGAAACAGAGAGAACATTCACAAAATGTTGGAAAATGGTGAATAGATTATTACAATCGAATTTTAATATAGACATTGAAAATGTCAAGGGTTGATTTTCCAAAAAGTGTCAATAGAATGTAGAAGAAAACATTGATACATATAAGGGAGAATGAAGAGGTGTGGGTTGTGTATCCCCCATTGAAAAACAAAAAGAAGATGGGAATCTGCTACGAGCTTTTAGCTTAACAGTAAGTGGAAGTAAAAATAAATAAATAGCTGTCCATTGATGGGGTAGTGATTAAATCGGTTGACATATCCTAAGTCATTTATGTTTTGTGGAAGTAAACAACCTGCCATTAACGTTGAGGAAGAACTAACTATCCCATATAGATATATAACACACATTGAATACTGAAATGTGGACTTATCAACTGACTTTTTATTCCTTAATTCTACTTCTAGACTACAGTAAAAATAACAAAGGTCCTTTCAGAATTTTGATCTAAAGCGTAAAAGTTAAGCCCTCTAGTGCCATTTCAATACAGTACCTTGCATCTGTGGGAGATTTTTCAGAAGATAGTTCTGAGATCATTTCAGAATATGAAGGGGAATCATTGATGTCATCTGAGTTACCACCCACAGTCTCTGTCTCTGTCTGATCAGGGAGTGATGTTGCTATTGATAGTACAAGTAATGGCTTTGACAACATCTGGAAAAATAAAGGTAATATATAATGCACTGAAGAAACAAAGCATATTAAAAATTTAAGATGGGAAGAACAGGAATCATCGGTCTCCAAAGTTCAGGAGACTGCATCTGCAATTCTTCCCATCTTGACTAAAGCAACTGAAGGATGTAGATCGCGCACATGTTTGCACAAGTAACATTGGTAAGGAAATGAAGTTTGAGTTAAAGAGCAACTAAGTTTTAGCATATTTCAGGAATTAGCTTAACATCCAGTTCCACGTGATTTAAGACGAACCAATTAAGGCAAGCACTCCACATTATCATGTGCAATGCAGAATAGGGTCTGCATAATTAACTACCATTGTGCAGGTTATGGCCATTATCAAGACATAAAAGGGAACATGCTTAATAAACACGTTGCACATACAAATAAACATAAACCAACAACTTACACTCAACAAAATAATGTGAGAACCATAATAAGCAGATAAGGCCAATGAACATTTCATCAAAGACTAGATCATATGGGTGACTTGCCCGTCTAAATTATGATGTGAAGGTCATAATTAACAAAGTTAACAGAACAGACCTGCATGCCTTTGACTAAACCTCTGAATGGAGTCCATCTCTGAATCCACTTAAATGGTGGATAGCAAAGAACCTGCAAAGCTTGAAGACCTCGCCAAGCAAAAGGACACCTAAACTTTGAGAACCTTCTAACTGTCTCTAGCGCAGCAACTTTGAGCAAGAAAAGTGTCACCTGACCAACTGCACCATTCACAATTCTGCTCTGTCTAAATGAAGTTACACTCCGTATAGCATTATTTGAATATGCTTTTGAGTGAGAAACGCCAATTGAGCATCCTCGTGGTTTTCTACTTCCACCAACACCAACTATACCTGATCCTGAACTAGGTAGCGTGTCTTCCATTGAAAAATCTTATTAATTTGCAACCTGATCTTCTACTAACAGCACAACTTGAAGAGGGAAAATGATCGTCTGTCCTTAATAAAATTGCTACAAACTACCGGGATCCTACGCAAAATAACTAAATACATAGTACTACGAAAAGCACTTTTTTAGGATGATAGAGGCACAGAAAGTTTCCTCATGCATCATCCATACAAAAACAACGAACAGGCCAAGACTGTAAAGATTTCAGAAATGAAGATTGCCGAGTATTGTCAACCTGCAAAATCGTAAATCAAATTACCATAAGTCAACCTATCCCCAAGAGACGATCAAATGCATAAAAACCGTTAAATTAAAGAAGAAAAAGACAAAGGAATTAAAGTCCAAAAAATCAAAACGTGGATTTCAAAGAGCAAACAGACACCACGCATAAACCTATTTCCGCACACGAACAAACTGAAACCACACATAAACAATACAACCTCTGACGTTTAGATCTCCGAATCGGAAAATCAATCGCCAACAACATAAGCATGGTTTGCAAACAAAAATCATCATTATTCGTTCAGCAAAGCATCCGGATCATTCAATTATCACAATTGATGCAAAGAAAACACGAAATTAAGGAAAATAGTACCAGGAGTTGATTTGAGGCGAAGTGTTGGCGTAGTATCTAAGCGGAGAACGGCATTTGTGTGTAGGATCAGCACGAAGACGCGGGAGGGTTAAAGGTCAGCACGAGGGCTGTAGGCGCCTTATTTTTCCGTTGGGTTCAGGAGAGAAAGGTGCGAATTTGTAGAATCAGAAGGATGCTGTCTTACACGCTCCATTCATTGCCCTTTTTAACTGCACTTTAACACTTGTGTTCACTCTAACCTTCACTCGGATTTCGTGGAGTCTACTTTGAATGGATCGGAGAGAGATTACTTACTGAGAGATAAATTGAGTAAATTTCTATTGTTCTGTTACAAATATGTATATATTTATTTATTTTTATCTTACCATTATATTTCAGTATATTATAATTTATTTATTTTTATTTCAATATATTATAATTCATGTTGGCTAATAACTCAAAATACTTTTATTTCAATATATTATAATTTATTTATTTTGGCTAATAACTCAAATGAAATTATGGGGCAAAACAATCAACCCTTATAAATATTATACTTATATATTAAAACATTAAAAGTTTTTAAGATAATGATTTTAATATTTAAGTTAAATTGTTATTTTTTATTTAGAAATTAGGTTGGTAAACATATATATATATATATATATATATATATATATATATATATATATATATATTTACATTTCTAACAAAAAAAAATGAAAATTATGGGTTACATTATAAATTAAATATAGTATACCCAACCTGACCCAAAAATGTGTTCCTCGTCGTTAATATGTGTACAAGTATTGGTAGAATAGTGTTCCTTGTCCTTAATATGCTTGCTTGCTCGAGTTGATTTATTTAAAAAAGAGAGAAAAATCCTTATATAATCCCAAAAAAATCCTAAGGATTCCGCCTACAGGGATGAATAAAAACAGGACCGAAGAGGAAGGACTCGGCCAACTCGTGAACATCTCTGGTTATGAGAAGAATTTGAAATATTGCTAATTGACAACTTCGTTTTAAAATTCTTATGGGAGAGGCGTTTGATGAAGATGGTGCAGATTACGATTAGTCTCGACCGGGAACGTGGATGTCGGAACCAAGGAGGTTAATGTTGGGTCGTTGGAGCAGAGGAGGCAAGGAACAGAACCGAATTTACATACTCATCTTCTCAATCTCCTCAACTTTTCATTAACGAACATCAATAATCTGTTCTATAAATAGCACAACATGTTCTAATCGCCATTTCACAAAGAACAGGGCAATGCGAGAATCAGAGTTGAATCATCAATCGAGGAAGCAAGGGTAGCTAAGAACACATAGAACCAAAACAAAGCTAGTTTCAGGAGATGAAACTAATATGTATTATTGGTTCAAAAAGAAAGGGAAACATAATGATCAAGTAGCAGTTAATCCAAATCAATGCATTTACAATCTTATTGTATAAATAAGATTAAATCTGGCAGTTAAGCTAAGCTTGGTGTAAGGTGTTATCTATTCATGATGAACAGCACAAACATTTCTCAGCAACAACTGTGTGCCCGCCGCCATTCTGAAAGAAACCATAATGTTCCAATCAGATAAACTTGGGCAGTAGAAGATGGTATTTAAGATCAAAGGAAAAAAATAGATTAAAACATATTTCCCCTTTTAATTTCATAAACACCAGCAGTTCTTTTGCTACCCCCTTGCGAAATCACACCGATAAACACCCTTTATATCCCTCCGATCGGTGCCTCCTTCAAGATAACACCAGCTCGTTTGCTCCGAGATGAGGGCGAAGGCAAACACGAACTTCATGTTCTTCTGGACCAACGCGATGTTTAGGCACCATTATCTCTAGACCAGTACCTGTCTCATCTCCATATGCTTCTAGCTTTGCATCGTCTGGGATCCTGGTTGGTAACGGAATTTCCCTTATGAACTCTCCTGGAGGGCAGTGCTCGGGTGATGGATCGGTGAGCTTGAATGTTCTGTCGTTTCTTTTCACAAAGGGCATGCATCCTGTGCTCACTGATGTTATCTTTACAACCCCATGAGTGAGGTTGTTCCACCAAGTCACTTTAACTCGTTTTAGATCAGCTAAAGGCAAGCTGACGATTATTAAGTATCCTTGCTCGTCCTCGTAGATCGTTTTTGCAGCTGTAACAGGACCGTAAACGTTCCTCATTGCCCCACTGAAATCATTTAACCATGGAGGTTCAACTGGATGGATTTCTATATCCTGAACTCTCTCATTATGTTGGCTAATGAGCAAACAACAGTCTTCATCATTCCCATGAAGAAACAAATCCTTCTTCCGCTTGTTGCCTTTTGGTGACAGATCCATCCCTCCGCCATTTACATGGTTCGTTGGTCGGGTTGACAGGTTAAGACTAGCCCCATTTAACAATTTTCTCGGAGGAGGATGCGAGTTGGTCTTCAAGGGAGGAAGGGGTCTTTCCAGCTCAAATTCTGTGCTGGGAAGGTTCCTCCACGAACAAAACTCACTTGCTTCTGGTGGGATAGAGAAGTTAAGATCCCTCCCTGTAAGTTCTATCCACCTTTTCTGCTCCTCCTCGTCAAGACCTATGAGGTTAGGCGATGGAAGTAAATCGATGCCATGCACACATTGAGGATTCGATAAGCCCCTGTAATGCTTTCGCTGCATCTTATGAGACCGAACAAACCCCCTGTCAACGCTATAAGGGAAAGTGCGTTCACCTTGCCGAGAGTGTCCATTCATATAACTCCTGAGCTGCATTTTACCGAGTGCATTCTCTGGCCTTTCCTTAAAAACCCACATATATATATTCTCCATATCATGTTGAACCATGAACCACTCAAGGTCTAGATCAGACTTGTCAAACCCAGAAACCCCATTACTGTCCCGAACGATTTTGCACTTCGATTTCTCATTCAACACTGGCTTAAAATAATAAGTAAAGAAAAACCAGGCACCCCACACACTGTCTAGTCTCTTTGAGAACTTACGTCCAGTCTTAGGCAGATTAAGAAGAGCATCAGTTTCATTAATTTGGGTTCCAAGACTAACATCCAACATGTCAAAAGGGTCTGAATTCCAGGGCTGTGGAGGAGGACTGCGCTCAGCTGAAAGCGGAAGATTGATATCGGGCGGTCGGGAAAGAACAACAGGTCGATTCAACTCTCGCTCAAGTTCTTCATGAGACATAGAACTTGAATCCATTGACAATAGTGTAGATGGGTGATGATTTTCCATAGACAAACTCGTTAGCAAATCCTCTCCCATGTCCTTTCAGCGCTCAACCCAGAATCAGTCCTTATTTACTCACAGTTCCAATAGGAAGAAACTAACACCTCCTAACACGTCCAGACAAATCCAGCTTCCCATATAAAATCAAACCCCATACTCAACAACAATCAACAATTTTCACCACCAAATTTCACCTCAACATTCAAAATCATCGTCTACTTCAACAATCAAAATTGAAACTCCCAAACAAAACCCACGAAAACGATTGGGGAAAAAAAAAATCCCAAAATAACACAATAATCAAGAAGAAAACAAAACCCTAGATGGATATAAACAATAAATTCGCATACAGCAGAGTTCCAAAAACAAAAAGAAAACGAACCTATCCAAGATTTGTGTAAGCCAATAATTCCGAGAAACATAGAACAAAGAAACGAAACAACTTACAATTAGTATTAGAGAAATTAGGGAAATCAAAAGAGATTCGAATTTCGCGATGGATATCCAATTGCGGAGAATTACAGAGCCCTTTTACAGACCGCAAGAACAACGCTCATCTCCTCCTCCAAATCCAAAGCCCTCCGGAGTCCAGAAAGAGAGAAGTGACGAAGAGTTTGAGAAGAACAACAACGATAACGGTGTCCGTTAATCAGACCGCTTAACTTCGACGGAGTTATTATGAAGTAGGTTAAAGAACAACGACGGCGCTTACTAGCGGTGACGGCGCTTATTTTAATTTTTCCCTTTTCTGCCCTTTTCCATTTATTAGCCAAGGCCGTGAATGTGATGTAACATATGGGCCATGGGCTCATTTATAGTATGGGCCCAATATAATCATAGTCCATATTATTGGGCTAAAACTCGCGTAATCCAAGGCCCATCTTATATTACAGTATTCGGGCCAATATTCCTGGTCCATCCTATATTTACAATATATTTTTATATTTTCCAAAAAGGAAAAATCGAATTATTATAAAATTATAAACTATGCTAATAATGAACATATGAAATGATGCCATTATGGGAAATTTTGTGTTGGGTAATTAGTTCAAATTAAAGAAAAAAAAAAGGTGAAATTTGTTATACGAATGTTAGACGAACACGACTCTCTACAATGTGGTATGATATTATCCACTCTTATGGTTTTGTTTTGGGTCTTCCCTAAAAGGTCTCATACAAATAGAGAGAGTATTATTTGATTATAAATCCATGATCATTCCCTAAATTAGTCGATGTGGGACTTTTATCATCCAACAACGAAGACTCGCTCCTCGTAGAATAGAAACACATGAAGGAGTGAAAAAAACTCTTTGTAAGCTAAATCGGGAAGAGGATGAGAAAGGCTCGTCCTCGCCCTAGTTTCAAATAACTTTAATGAAGTTGAGTTAAAAAAAAAAAAAAAAAAATAGAAATATATAAAAGATGGTTTTAAAAATATTCCTACCTTTCTTTAGTTTCAATAAAATTATTAAATTTTTATAAATATTTTTAAAATTATATTTTTTGGTATAAAAACCGTTATATTTCTTTTAAGTTGATTTAAAATGTTTATGAAATGTGAAATGGATTACATTAATTATGTCTTTTAATAATCTTATCTGGTGTAAAAATAAAAATAAATAAAATAAGACGTGAGTAATTATAATTTCAAATTAATTTAATGTTTAATTTTATACATGAGTTATATAATAATTTTAAAATAAAATAAATGTTAAAAATTATTTTTGAAATAAATTATTTTATGGAAGGTGAAAAAGAGAACGGAGGAGGATTCTCCTGTTTTGCATTCAAAGGCAATCAATGGGGAAAGAAAGAAAATAGTATAAAAATTGGTTTTACACGCATTTGGCTAACCCACCCATGTGAGCTGCCATCCAAGCAACCCCCACATACCACTCTTTCATTCCACTCTCTTCCAAAATTCCCCTAATTCTCTTAGTTTAATCTCTGTGGGCTTCGTTTCTTCTTCATCTTT